CTCCCAAACTCTAAATATCCTGTTTTCGTGTTAAATGCTGAGACTACTTCCATTTTTTAAGTTTTATATTTTTAGTCTGGCTATCAAAACTAGATATACCGTTCCTTCACAGAATATTCGACACTTTTTCCTCTTAGTCTTATCCATAAAACATTACATCCGAAGGGAGTTTTTCCTGGTTCATTTTTCACCGAAGAGAGATGAATCGTGACCCAGATATAATTCAATCTTCATCACACCGCCAGGGGAGGGGGCGTTCGTTGAGGGTTGAAAGGGCAAGAAAAGTGCGGAGAGACGTTGGCCTTGCTTTCCAACGTTCGGGGCAGATTACTTTTATTCAGATACAGGTGGCAGCGAGTCGGGCTCCTTCAAGATGCTGCACCACGCTCCGAGGAAGGAGGAGGCGAATAAAAAATTTAAACACTTTAAAAAAGGTCTAGGAAAAGTGAAAAGACTTACCCGGTGCATTGGATGCTTAGGCGACCCACTTTTCTCTTTCCTATGAGCTTTCAAGTGCTTCAAGAACCTGGTGAACGTTGTTTTCTTCTTCCCGGATCGCTCTGCAAACAAAATGAGGAATCAATTAAACTTCCGTTCGGCTTCGGATTGGACGCGTGCTTCTAGCGCTTCTGTGTCACACTCCTGCGCATGATTCAACCCAGAGGCGGATCCAGCAATTTGGCAACACCGGGTTTCTTTCATTTAAACCTACGCTAAATAATCGATGATTGACGGAACACCTAGCCCCTCCAAGAATCGATACATTTCCATAGGTTTAAATGGAGAAAATACGATGTTGCCAATTTGCTGGATCCGTCAATGATTCCACCAGGTGTGTGGGAAATGAGGGATCATGCAGGATCCCAGGTCCAATAAGGAAAGGCAAGAGTAGTCAGGGAAGCCCACTTACGAAATCAGCGAATACTCTCTAATCTCCTTGCTGAAAAATTGGTTAATTATCCGTCAACTCGACCTTTTTCCATTCCTCCCAACTTGCAACGTATACTCAAATATGGATCAATCGGACAAAATTTTGCAACTGAGGAATTCTAAGTTTGGCTCACCCACAAAATCAAGTAGTAGCGCAGAGAAACTAATGACACATATGACATTTGTTCTTTGTGAAATGTTCCCAATAGTAATTGTAGTTCCATTTATCGCCAGCGAGTACTCTATACTTTTTTAAAAAAACCTCTTGAAAATAAGGAAAATTTAAGAAAGTGTTTGCTCTGATTCCCCGTAAGCAGGGTTACCATAATTTTGCCATCTTCCAATTCCCTGCTTTTTCCTAACTATTCCCTGACTATTTTCGGTTTTCGGTGACTCTAAAATTTTCTAATTCCATAGCTTCCCCGTATTGCAACTTTCCATCCTTCTTTTATTTAAATACGCTGACTTTCACTGAACTTTGAACACAATTTCCTTGCTTGGGAATCAAATCATGGAAAAAGGAATTCAGTAGCTAGTTAAAAAATTACAAGCCTTAAAAATGACCAAAAGAGTTAAACAGTAAGAAATTCAGTGATATGTTTTAGTGATTAGTAGATGTGGCAGAAATTCCCTGACTTTTCCCAGTCGCTAATTCCCTGATTTTCCTGTTTAACTAACCCGGACTAACGGCAACTCCCCATGTTAGAACGGAAATTAAGATTGCGGAACTCATGACTAAAAACTTTGGTTCATATGATACAAAGAGATTTTGAAAACAAGCTAAGAAGCCGTCGCATACTTCCATCTGAAAAGGCTAGAAAGGAAATTCGGCGAGGACCCAACTTTCTCTCATAGAAGGACTTTGATTTTGAGACAGTCTCACAAGCAAAAGGTAACAAAAGGTTGAGAGCCAACGCCGGGCGTGCACCCCCGTGCGTGTTACGTAAGAACGCCGCATAAACATTCGAAAGTTGCCAAATTCCTCTCAACTGAAATTTCCATTCTGAAACAAGTTCGATATTTTTCAGCGATTTACAAGTAGGTACAACAGAGTGCATTACGAATAAAGTCCAGCGGAAAAATCAATGAAAAAATCGCAAAGGTTTCCGGAAAACAAAAAAATGTATAAGAACAAATATGCGGCAACGTGAGGGGGTAGATACAACGTTTTTCCTTGAGACGGGAGCCGAAAAAGCCCGGGGAGGACGGGAAACATCAAAAATTAAAAACAAACGCGCCCAGGGACGACGCTTCCTCGCTTTTGTTCGCGAGATCCGCACCGAGTATCACCTCTCCCCCCCCCCCCCCCCGGCTCGGCGCACAGTGCGGCCCTCTATGGAAAAAAATAAAAAATTCACAACTCGACATCTGAATATTTCTTTTTGGAGTTTGTCATCTTCAAGATATTTCTGACTCACAATGATGGTTCATTTTCAAATTTTTCGCTCTAAACTACTTAAAATTTGGGTAGAAAAGGGACGAAAGATGGGTCGAGAATCACTGGTCCAGCAGAAATACACAGGAAAAAGACGTCAAAATTTACTTCATTCTCAAATATCCAACTTCAATTCCACACCAAAAAGATCTTGCGACTTTTTGCGACTATCACAGATATTTGAAGTCGAAAATGTGGTAATTTTGTGTAAATCATATTTCAATGCAGACCCTGTTGGCAGTCATGAAGATAGTTATATAGGGAAAGCTAGACTTACCCGCCGAAGTTCCATCTTGTTTTTGAGACCTAAAAACCTTTGTATTTCGAAAAATTTTTGAACTTCAAAATCAGATTCTATGGCAGAAATAAGACAGAAATGAATAATTCAAAAGCCTATATCTGACAAATTCGAGTTTTGCGATGTTGATGAGGTCATTAATTTAGAGGTTTTCTGGGCCGCCATCTTGTTTTTACGATCAACATTTCATGTTTAGAGTATTTGCCTTCAAAAACGGATTCTACGGGAAATAATACAAATAACTCGACATTTATTTTGTCAAAATTTCTTTTCTTCATCGTTGTTACGAGTTTTGTCCGCTTTATCCATTAAGTGGCCGCACTTGGCGGCGCGGGGAGACGTAGACGAAAACCTTTTGATTAAAATATCGGATGCGCGGGAGGAAGAACACGGTGGCGCGAGAGGGTGCTTGTGCCCCGCTCGAGGATTCACGGCTTTCGGACGTCGGCATTGTTTCCGAATAGTGCTAAAAAATCAGCACTTTTCCCCCACTTTTCCCCCACTTAACCCACGCAAAGGAATTATAATTATATCGCACAATCTGACAACACTGGACGTCGGCACCGTCGAGGTTTGCACAACACAACCCATTCCACAGCATTACCGTCTCAACCTTGAATCATTAAACATCCGATGAAGAATTAAATTATAGAATAAAAAAAAAACTTAGGGACTATAATTTTACATCACAATAACATGAAAATTCGAAGAATACTATAAAGGTTGATCCAGAGAAAGAGGGTTGGTAAAGGTGCATCTGAAGTAATTTCTCCGGAAAGGGTTCACATAAATTTTTAAAGCCCATCGACTAAGAGGAGCGTTAGTTAATTTACAGCCGTGAGGGCTTCATGACAGGCCTAAACTCGTAGACCAATCAAAAAGCGGCACAACTTTCCGGCACTAAAAGGATAGGAATGGCCATACTCCATCTACGTACGTGCTCTAATTTGAGGCAGTTCAAGAATTACGTACATGTAGGGATTTCATTTCGGAAGACTTTTTGCCCTATCCCACCTCCATGGAAGGTTGAGGTTCATTTCCAATTAAAAAAATCTACGGATGCACGGGACAAATTCCTAGAACTTAACGGCGAGAGGCAGGCAAAAACCTGTAAATTTGCCCGTTGTTGCCGAATTTACAGATAATGACTTCGGTCTTTCGTAGCCCTCTATGGGCGCGGAACGTTTGTAGAGGGTTGGGCCGCACAGTGATCGGGGGAGGAATGAACCCTCCAGTATTTGACAGAATTCAGAGAGAACACGTAAGAGTCGAAAGCTGAAAGAAGGGATCAGATCGGAGAGGAACGATAGAGCGAGCTTTTGGCGTAAAAAATGCAGGAGGCCTAAAATCTTGTGGGTAGGGAAGGAAAAGGGGGACTATAAAAGAATGGAAAGTAAACAAAATTCGACTCCATCAATCTCTAAGACTTTGGCTCTCTCCACTGGATTGGAGCAACCATCAATCTTGGGAAAGCGAAAAACATTCCTTACATATCGATAAGTGAACCGCAACATTAATCATGGGACCTGCGGGTAGCTGGATTTACAGCCGACTTAGAATAGCGTTGCATAATTTGACCACATTTTGCAATCGAGAACTACTATTTAGGACTCTTTTCAGAAACAACATGTGCGCCATTACTCTCCATGTGCAGATAGGTGCTTTTATGGATGAGCCGAGAGTATAGTTCCTTATTGTAAACTATGGTCCAATTGGATTGAAGTAGGGAGGGAGGGGTGGAGGATGGAGGGAGAGGGGGTGGGGAGGAGGAGGGGGGAGAGAAATAGAGAGAGAGATACTGAAAATTTATTGATCTACTTTTTTCCTTTTCTTTTCGAATTGATTAAATGCTCAAACCGCCAATATTCGTGCAACGGCAAATGAAAATGCAATGAGAGGCACAATCAAGCCGAAAAATTGTAGACGCTTTGGATTTTTCGATGGCAAGGTCTCGAGGCAACTATTCGTGTTTTTGGGATGTCCGTGTTGCATATACAAAAAATTGCAGGCGTTCTAGTTGTCTACGGCCTAACGCATGGCTGCGGTTGTTGGCTCGTAAGAGTTTTCAACGATGTAATCACAATCGTGTTCACCATGATTTCCTCTAAATTTGAATGAGACCAACACCATGACAGCGTTGAAAAATGGTGCTAACTGCGGAGATGTTACCGGTAGTAATTTGCTGCATTGAAATCCGCGATGCCTCTGATCTGTGACAATGTTTTTAGTGGAAAATTTGCACCATTTGGCAATGCTACCGTGATGAAATACGTTTAATTCAAACTCCGAGGAAAACCAGTTTTCGCAGCCAAATTCCCTAACTTTTCCCGACTTCAGGATTGGACAAAATTCCATGATCATGCAGTAGTAAAATTATTTTGGTCATCTATTCCACACCAGTTCCATGTTTACTCGTCAATGGATCATCGGAAATAATTGACCATTCGTGAGCCTTGAAACAGCGATTAATATTTAGCGGGATGAGGAATATTATTGGAGCTATGCCTGACCAAGCGACGTGGGAATCAAACGAAAATATAGAGACGTTTCTTGGACCTCTGGGGCCGTCCTGCCTGCGAGTCGATTACGAACTCTTAATCAAAAGACCTTCATCGATAAATTCCATTTTAGCAATGCTTTATATCGATGGAGGTCATCTCAACAATCGACCCGCCAGAGGGCGCGTGGATCGGGAAATTGGACGGGCTAGAAACTTGGTCCGGCGGAGCGGGGACTTCTAATTGGATCGTTTCTGGGCGGCGAGCGATTCGTGAGACAGTGACTGCTTCGCGGCTAATACAATTACGAGCAATGAATGGTTAGTAATTGCAAATGAGATGCTAACTGCCCGGCCGAAACTAAGACTGCATCGGGACTCGGGAGGATGCGGCAATAAT